TTATACGAACATGTTTGCTGATGATGCTAAGATAATAGGAAGGATAAGAAATTTAGATGACTGTCATGCCCTTCAAGAAGACCTGGACAAAATAAGTATATGGAGCACCACTTGGCAAATGGAATTTAATGTTAATAAATGTCATGTTATGGAATGTGGAATAGGAGAACATAGACCCCACACAACCTATATATTATGTGAGAAATCTTTAAAGAATTCTGATAAAGAAAGAGATCTAGGAGTGGTTCTAGATAGAAAACTATCACCTGAGGACCACATAAAGAATATTGTGCAAGGAGCCTATGCTATGCTTTCTAACTTTAGAATTGCATTTAAATACATGGATGGCGATATACTAAAGAAATTGTTCATGACTTTTGTTAGGCCAAAGCTAGAATATGCAGCTGTTGTGTGGTGCCCATATCTTAAGAAGCACATCAAAAAAACTGGAAAAGGTGCAAAGACATGCTACTAAGTGGCTCCCAGAACTGAAGGGCAAGAGCTACGAGGAGAGGTTAGAAGCATTAAATATGCCAAAACTAGAAGACAGAAGAAAAAGAGGTGATATGATCACTACATACAAAATAGTAACAGGAATTGACAAAATCGACAGGGAAGACTTCCTGAGACCTGGAACTTCAAGAACAAGAGGTCATAGATTTAAACTAGCTAAACACAGATGCCGAAGAAATATAAGAAAATTCACCTTCGCAAATAGAGTGGTAGACGGTTGGAACAAGTTAAGTGAGAAGGTGGTGGAGGCCAAGACCGTCAGTAGTTTCAAAGCGTTATATGACAAAGAGTGCTGGGAAGACGGGACACCACGAGCGTAGCTCTCATCCTGTAACTACACTTAGGTAATTACACTTAGGTAATTACACACACAGTCAGCTGATCGGCTGCCGCCCTCAAGGCCAGACGCACTAATATTTCTCCTCCAACAATATTGTTTGTGGTGTTATTATGCTATATATACACACTATATATAAGTATCTACCTGTTTTATTCACCATACCTGTACAAATAAGCTGGTATGGTGCCCAAAGACCATAGTGGCCATCAGTAAACAACATGACAAGTCATGCAGACGACGCTCCTCCCTCACCAAAATGGCAGCTCCCAACCTTCTCCTCTCGCTGTTATCTCACAATATACACACGTTATATATAAGTATCTACATTTGTGTTCACCATAGCGAACCACTAAGCTGATATGGTGAGTGCAGTCAATAAATGGTGGCCACACACAGTCAGAAGACGACGCCACAACCCTCCCTCCACAGCCTTACTCCTCCCTCCATGGAGCACAGCGCTAAATATCACCACAATCCTGCTGTTATCAGAATCCTGGTCAGTTTTATCACAGTCAGGGGGCTTCAGTAATACTATCACTGCTAAATAATAGCAGTATCATATATTATGGCATTTGTAGGCGATGCTGTGGTCACAAGCTGAACAGCAGTGCTGTGAGCTCGTGCTGCGTGCGCCAGCCTTGGTGGCTTGCTTAATACTGACGCTCTAACACCCAAGAATGTTGGCCTGGATTTTTGTTTAGGTGGCATCTGGCAAGTATCGGTCTTGGCTGTACTATAGCTGCCCCTATCCCAGGCGGGGTGTTTAAATTATAGCGCTAGACACGAAATCACATATATATGATGTGCGCGGTTTCGGTTTTGTCACTGATATCATATATATATGATTTGCGCGGTTTAAGGGTTAAGAGGAAACTAGATTGTTTCCTCCAAGGAGTGCCAGACCAACCGGGCTGTGGTGGGTATGTAGGCCTGCGGGCCGCTGCAAGCAACAGCCTAGTGGACCAAACTCTCATAAGTCAAGCCTGGCCTCGGGCTGGGCTTTGGGAGTAGAACTTCCAGAACCCCATCAACCAGGAGATGGCCCCTTACCCTTAAGATAAGCCGGTTGTCTTAGACCGCCTGTCTTTCCACGGATCTGGAGTATTTATTACTGGTGGGGTGCACTGTGGTTCATGCAACCTACCCGGTACGCCGAGGTGGGCCTCTAGCTTCAGCCCGTCCTCTCATACAAACATTCAAGCTCGTTAATCCAGCCATGTAACCCCGTTTCTGGGGAGGAGCCTCTATGGCTCCCCGGAGCTATCCAGGCTGATATGTAACTATCAGCTTTCTGGCATAAGTCAAAGTGCATGATGTTCTTGCCTATTAGGAACCATGAGCTAAACCCTGGTCCCCTCAGAGAGGCATGAGGAACAATGTTCTATAGAAACCCCCGTATGGTTGGGAGCATTCTGTGTATACCATTGACCGGGTCTGGCACCCAGAAAGATAGGCGCCCCAAAACAAAACCCTATTCTGGTAAAAATATTGCTACCGAAACTCGAACGAGTGGACAGAACTCCCCAATGAAAATTAGCAAACGTACATGACGTCATCACGTTGCCACCCCTCTGTCTGCGCAACCCCGCCCTCCTTCGGGGGAGGGGAAAGAGGGAGCCCCAGACCCTCACACTGGCGATCGAACTGGCAGTTCTTATCTGATGAAATACTGGCTGGTCGGGTGCCTCTGACTCCAGTTTTTCTTTTTTCAGTTCCTGTACCTTGTGGCTTGGTCTGTCTCTACAGGAGGTGTGTGAGCCAGGAGTAATATTCTACGGTTCTCGGGCTGCATGTGCCTAGGGTTTCCTTCCATAGGTGCCATGTAAGTACTGCCCTTGGGGCTTGGGGGGCCCCCCTTCCACAAGTCACCTTGGGGCCTACCTCTGCTGTGTCTTTTACTGCTTGATACATGGCTGCCCTTGGAGTCAGCTGGAGCTTTTGTTGCCCTTGTTTGCCTCTGGGTAAGAGGTAGTTTTTGTCACTGGTTGGGGCTCAGGGTACTGCACAGCTAGTTTTTACCTATTTTAGTGGCCGGCTCTGTTCCGCCTGGGTACGCTGCTCTCTTGAGTGGGTTTTCTTTTGTTTTTGTTTCCTTGCTTGGTGGGCGGGAGGGTCTGCCAAAGGTTGCCCCCTATCTATACTTGGGAGTCTTTTCTCTAGACTTCTCTGTGTTCTTGGTGGTACCCCCTGTTTGGCCCCCGTGAGTGGACACATCATGGGGGTTCAGCTTTAGAAGTTTGCTTGGTAGTTTTGGTCGCCGGTTCACAGTACCGTGCCTGGGCTTCCCTTAGCGTGACACCAAGGCTAGGGGCCCTGGGAATCCCCATGTGGGCTCCGTGGTTCGATGGATGCCCCTCCCGCTTCATGCTAGGTTGATAGTTGCTCTGTTCCCTTGTCTCGGGGTGACACTCGCCGGTTGTGCCTCTGCCATGCTGCCTGTCGGGTCGGTGATTCTTTTTGACCCGGAGTCGTGCGACGTTTTTTCCTTGTACGTGCTCTAGTTCACCCAAGCTACTGAACATGATATGAGGGTGCATGTAGCAGAGGCATTGCATGCACGGTTTAAGTTACTGCATCGCGATAGGTTTGTTGCTTCCCCGGATGCCCCAGATGCCCTGGCTGCCCCGTTTTGGTTATAGGGACCCGGACTTGGAAGTTCGAAGTCGTTTCTACTTTGGTTCCGTTTATCCCTCCTTGTCCTTTCCCTTTGGTGGTTCGTTCGGTCCCCCCCAACCGCTCTTGTTGCTGGCTAAAAACGTCGGGTGAGGTTTTCCGCGCAGGACCGACAGAACGTGTCGGTCCTGCGCGCTTGAGTGGAGGGAGGCTCAGATGGCGTTGCAGGTTTTCCTGGAGGGGCAAATTTGAGCATCTCAATGCCTGTTTGTTCGCCCCTGCCCTTCCGTGGGATATTGGTGTGATGCAGCTTCATGTGCAGGTTCCTTCCCTTTCGGCTGTCTTGGTTGCGAAGGATTTGTGTACACGTGGCCTGCTGGCTTCGGGCCAGCGTTTCTCTTCCCTCCTCAAGCTGTCCTCGGATTGACTTGAGTTGGTTGTGGAAGAGCTTGGGGCTGCCTCTGGGTCTGGTGCATTGCCCTCGGTGGTGCGAGCGCCATCTGCATTGTTGTTGAAGTTGTTCACGCTGTTCCTGCGGGATGCGGTTTCGCGTATTTTTGCTTCTCGACTCACGTATCGGCAGGCGGTGCTCGTTTCTTCCTTCCTTGGAATCTGCTTGGGCCATGGCTCTTAGGTTGTCTTCGCTTTTTTGTCTGCTGCTGTTTGCAGAGTCTGCGGATGTGCAGTATCTACAGGCAGCTTCGGCTAGTTGCCATCCTATGTCCGACTTGTTAGTTCTCCGGGGGGCTCGTGGGGGGCCTTCCCAGAAGGGTCGTGCCAGGGTTTGGAGTTCTTCCCGTCATGGTAGGTCAGTAGTTCCAGATGTAGGAGCCAGAGGCGCACGACCTTGCCAGTTCACATCAGCCACAGAACTGTTGGGTGAATAGTTGGCGTTGGGGTCTGGGGCTCCATCTTCCTCCTCCCAAGGAGGGGGGGTTTGAGCAGACAGAGACACGATGCTCATTTGCTTGTTTTCATTTGGGGGAGTTCTGTCCACTAGTTCGGCTTTCAGTAGCCATATTTTAACCAGAATAGGGGTTTGTTTTGGGGAGCTTACCTTACTGGGTGCCTGACCCGGTCGATGGCAGATATAGAATGCTTCCAATCACATGCGGGATTTCTATAGGCCATTGCTCCTCGTGCCTCTCTGAGGGGGGGGCCAGGTTCTGGCTTGTGGTCCCCTGTAGGCCTAGAACTCCATGCGCATGACTGATGCCAGGGACTAATACAGTACAGTACATTCATATCAGCCCGGTTAGCTCCGGGGAGCCGAATGGTCTTTCCTCAGAAACTGGCGTTTCATTACATTCAATTCTGGCTTTTTAATTTAATATTAGGCATGAAGTACAGTATAGTAGTGGGAAATTATTTCCAGTATATACTCCTCTCAAGTGAGTGAATGCAACAGTTGATTTTGGGAGATCTTGTGCAGCCATTGTCTGTAGCTTTTGTATTAAATACTGTATCTGAATGTAGTGTGTGGTAGGTACTGTATATTCATAGCAAGCTTATTGTTTCATAATTTTATTAACAGCTCAACAGGTTGGTTTCATATGCTAATGAAGAGGATGATGATGAAGGGGAAGAACTTGGGAGAGACAGAGATGAAGATGAGCCAGATGAAAGTGAGTCCTTCATAAATTAGCACTAAGTGGCATTGCCACGTAAAGAAAGTAGTCAGACATTGCTAAAGCTCCTTTCTCTGATAATTTATAGAGCTTCTTTATTTATTATTATTGGCTTCACATATCTATGCACTCCATTGTGCCAACATAATAAACACTGTTATGATTGTTCTATAATGTATTGATGTTATGAACCCGTTCACATTGCCTACCTACCGTGTGGCTACCTTGTGTAACATCAGGGGGATTAACGGCCCCGCAGCCCAGTTTCCGACCAGGTCTTCCGGTTGGTGGTCTGGTCAACCAGGCTGTTGGACACGGCTGCTCGCAGCCTGACATATGAATCATATCCTGATTGATCAGGTATTATTTGGAGGTGTTTGTTGAGTTCTCTTGAACACTGTAAGAAGCCGACTAGTTATGCTTCTTACGTGTAGCGGGTGAGTGTTGAAAAGTCTTTTGCCCTTGATGTTGTTGGCGTTTTCCCTGTGTGTACCTATTGCACCTCTGCTTTTCATTGGGGCTATTTTGCACATCCTGCCATGCCTACTGGTCTCATGTGATGTAATTTTTGTGTTCAAATTTGAAACCAGTCCCTCTAATATCTTCCAGATGTAGATTATTATGTATCTCTCTCGCCTGCGCTCTTAAGAATGCAGATTTTGAACTTTTAATCAGTCCCAATAATTAAGATGACTTATAGAGTGGATTCTAGTGGTAAAGGATCTTTGCAGGCTCTGTAGGTCAGCAATTTTTCCAGCTGTGAATGGGGCTGTTATTGTGCAACAATATTCCACCCTAGAGAGCATTAGTGTCTTGAAAAGTATCATCATTGATATGGCATTCCTTGTTTGGAAGGTCCTTGTTATCCAACCTGTCATTTTTTTTGCAGCCATGACAGCTACTTTATTGTGTTCTGTAAAAGGTAAGGTCTTCTGACATGATTACACCTAAATACTTTACATTGCTTTTTCATTGAATAGTGTGATTTGATTCCATTTTCTGGGGGGAGCCCCGTCGGCTCCCCGGAGCTATCCCAGGCTGATATGCTAATGTCAGACTTTGGCATCAGTCATGTGTATGGAGTTCTTAGGCCTACCGGGGACCACGGCCAGAACTGGGCCCCCTCAGAGAGGCAAGGGGAGCAATGGCCTATAGAAGCCCCCGTGTGGTTGGAAGCATTCTATGTCTGCCATCAACCGGAACAGGCACCCAGAAAGGTAAGCGCCTAAAAACAAACCCCTATTCTGGTTAAAATTGCTACCAAAAGCCGAACTAGAGGATAGAACTCCCCAACCGAAAACAAGCAAACTAGTGTGACGTCACACACCGCCGCGCCGCTGTCTGCGCAGCTCCCCCCTCCCCAGGAGGGGGAAGGGGGAGCCCCAGTCCCTCCACGCTGGCTACCCACACCTCAGTTCTTGAGGCTGATGCTATAGGCGATGGTCGTGTGCTCTGGCTCCGGTGTCGCTACTGCACTGTGCTTTGCGTGTGGTGTTGGTTTTGTGGGTGCGAGAGCTAGGAGTTTTCAGTACTCGGGCTGCATGCGCCTAGGGCTGCCTTCCCTAGGTGCCCTGTAAGTACTGCCCTTGGGGCTTGGGACCACCTTCCACAGGCTCCTCGGGGTCTGCCTCTGCTGGTTTGTTTTACCTTTCGGTTTTTCGGCCGCCTGTTGGGCTCTTGGGTGTTCTGTTCTCCCTTGTTACCGGCAGGTAAGAGGCAGTTTGCACTAGTAGGGGCACAGGGTGCTGCTCAGCTTGTATTTCCCGACATCGCGGCCGGCTCTGTTCCTTGGGTTTCGCTGTCCTCTTGCGGGGCTTTGTTTTTCTTTTTGTTTTTGCCTGGTGGGGGGTTCTGTCATTTTATTCAGTTTGTTTATTCCCTTCCACTGTTCTCCTCGGTGGCGTCCCCTTCTAGGTCCCCGTGAGTGTCCCCGTGTCCCCGTGATATTATCTTTCTTGGAGATTTCAATTTACCGAGTCTAAGATGGAGAACGGCAAACACAAATATCATAGCAGGGAATGACCCGGGAAATAACCAACCACAGGTTAGAGAACTTTTGAGATTCTGTGACAAATTCTCGCTCAATCAACAGATTACAGAACCAACTAGGAACGAAAACACACTAGACTTGTTATTCACAAACAATGATGAACTAATCAGGGATATCACAATCTCAGATACTTCATACTCAGACCATAAGCTCATTGAAGTGCGAACTAGCATAAATAACGGTAGTAGGTCTAAGAGACCAAACAAGCGAGAAGGAATATTCAATCAATTCAATTTCAACAATAAGAGGATTGACTGGGAAAAAATAAATGTAGACCTTGCAACCATTCAATGGGAGACGGTCTTAAGCGACAAAACTCCCACACAGGGAGCCACATAGGAAGAGTAACGGCCTCAGAGTGGGGTCTGCCGTCGGTGGCTGGACGGTCGACAACTCGTGTACAATTCCTCTATGACAAAGAGTGCTGGGAAGACGGGACACCACGAGCGTAGCTCTCATCCTGTAACTACACTTAGGTAATTACTTAGGTAATTACAGGGAATAGCTCAACTGACAGCTGAAGCTTACAAGGTCTGCTTGAAGCACGTGCCTGTGAGGAGGGGCAGAAAGAGGACCACTCTAGAAAGAGAACGCAGACGACTGTACAGGAGAAGGAAAAAAAATAACGGAAATGCTTCGGCAGACACAACTATCACAAGCAAGGAAAATAAGCCTAAGCAGGGAGATCGAAGAAATAGAACAAACGTTGAAGCGATTATATGAGTCTGAGGAAATGGAATTGGAATAGAGAGCTATACAAGAGATAAGAAAAAATCCGAAATATTTTTTCACATATGCAAAATCAAAATCCAAAACCTCGACCAGTATTGGACCATTAATTACAAATGAAAGGTTCGTACACAGAGGACAACAAAGAGATTAGTGAAATTCTAAGAAGCCAGTATGAGGCTATGTTTAGCACACCAATAAACAACATGAAAGTTGATGACCCAGACAGCTTCTTTATGAATGACATTCAAGCTGCAGATAATATAACGGATATTACTACAAACTCGGAAGACTTTGAAAGAGAAATTGACAATGTGCTATGCACTCAGCTCCTGGGCCTGACTCATGGAATTCAATATTCATAAAGAAATGTAAACTACCAGTAGCGAGAGCACTCAGCGTAATATGGAGAAAGAGCCTGGATACAGGGGAGATACCAGCAGCACTTAAATCTGCAGATATAACTCCGTTGCACAAGGGGGAGGGGGTGGAGTAAAGTCTTGGCAAAAAATTACTGGCCAGTTGCACTAACATCACACATAATAAAAGTGTTTGAAAGAGTGATTAGGAATCAAATTTCTAGTTTTATGGAAAACAATGAATTGCACAATCCAAGACAACATGGATTTAGAGCGGGAAGATGCTGTCTGTCACAGTTACTCAACCACTATGACAAAATCACAGAAACCCTAGAAGAAAAGTAATATGCAGATGTTGTATACATAGACTTTGCAAAGGCGTTTAACAAATTTGACCATGGGGTGATAGCTCACAAAATGAGGTCAATGGAAATAACTGGAAAAGTAGGACGCTGGATACTCAATTTCCTGTCGAACAGAACACAAAGAGTAACAGTCAATCAGATAAAATCGAGTCCAAGCGATGTTAAAAGCTCTGTACCTCAAGGTACAGTCCTTGCACCGCTACTGTTCCTTAATCTCATATCTGATATAGACAAAAATACACGTCATAGCTTCGTGTCGTCCTTTGCAGATGACACAAAAATCAGCATGAAAATTACCTCTGCTGAAGACATTGAAAAACTACAAGCAGATGTCAACAAAGTTTTCGATTGGGCAGCAGAAAATAACATGATGTTTAACAGTGATAAATTTCAGGTACTCAGGTTCGGCAAAAATAAGGATCTGAAACATAATACAGGGTACAAAACACAATCGAATCTTCCCATAGTAGAAAAACAGCATGTCAAGGATTTGGGAATAATGATGTCCGACGATCTAACGTTTAGGGAGCATAACCAAGCAAATATCGCGTCAGCCAGAAAAATGATCGGATGGATTACGAGAACTTGCAAATCCAGGGATCCCATCACAATGGTTGTACTCTTCAAGTCACTTGTGCTGTCCCGTCTCGAGTACTGCTCAGTTCTCACTTCCCCCTTCAGAGCAGGAGAGATTGCTGAAATAGAAGGAATACAGAGAACATATACGGCACGCATAGACGAGATAAAACACCTAAATTATTGGGATCGTCTCAAAGCTCTCCAAATGTACTCTCTAGAAAGGAGACGAGAGAGATACCAAATAATATACACATGGAAAATACTGGAGGGTCAGGTCCCAAATCTACACAGTAAAATAACAACGTACTGGAGTGAACGATATGGAAGAAAATGCAAGATTGAACCAGTGAAGAGCAGAGGTGCCATAGGCACAATCAGAGAGCACTGTATAAACATCAGGGGTCCGCGGTTGTTCAACGTCCTCCCAGCGAGCATAAGAAATATTGCCGGAACAACCGTGGACATCTTCAAGAGAAAACTGGACGGTTTTCTAAGAGAAGTTCCGGATCAGCCGGGCTGTGGTGGGTACGTGGCCCTGCGGGCCGCTCCAAGCAACAGCCTGGTGGACCAAACTCTCACAAGTCGAGCCTGGCCTCGGGCCGGGCTTGGGGAGTAGAAGAACTCCCAGAACCCCATCAACCAGGTATCAACCAGGAGTGTACACGTCCCTGGGGTTCAGCTGTAGAAGTTTGCTTGGTAGTTTTGGGCGCCGGTTTGCGGCACCCTGCCTGGGACTACCTGAGCGCGTGTCCTTAAAGTAAACGCTCAAGACCCTGGGAATCCCCTAGGGGGCGCGTGGGTCCGATGGATGTGACCCCGGAGTCCCCACTCGCTGTGTGCGAGTTTGAGGGTTGCTCGGTCCCCTTGTCTCAGGGTGACCCTCATTGTTTTTGCCTCTGCCACACTGCCTGTTGG